ATTCTATTCTATTCTATTCTATTCTATTCTATTCTATTCTATTCTATTCTATTCTATTTCCTATATTCTTACTCATGTTTATACTTATTCTTATTATCTTGTAAGCAATAAATCAAATAAATAAATCAAATAAAATATCTTTCATGATATGAACCATAAGGAGGAGGAGTAGTGCATGGCTCACCTTGTCAGCAAGGAAGGGCAGGTGGCTACCGTGGCAATCCCAGCCAGTTTCCTGCAAGATATCTGGGGTCTGTCTCCTGGTTTGCCTGGAAATGCTGAAGTGAACCTGCTTCTTGCTAGCCTGCATATTGGGACACATGGAAAAGTCCCCCCTTCCCCAGTTAACTGGCTGCATAAGCGAATTTCCAATTTTCAGACACGTTCAGAAAACGGCTGTGCTCGTACCAGATTGATTTTAAACCGATTTAAGAAAATGCCATCTGAATGCATAAATATAAAGTTGTGGCAACAATAAAAACAAGGATTCCCCCCCCCCTTTCTTTTTTTCTCTGCAGACACAGGTGGTTTGCATTCTTCATCTCAAACAAGCATTCGCCCCATTTCTCAGAGCTGTTCTGAGGAAGCTGTTTCAACCTACCTGTATTAATTGGGCTGCGCATTCCGGACTTGCGTGCTGTAAGTCGTGCCCGTTAATGGCTAAAACCTTATCGTTCTCTCGAAGTTCCCCCTCACGGGCTGCAAGGCCTCCTTCCAGCAGGTTGAACACAAAAACTCCATCTTGGTTGGCCTTACGGATCAACTTGATTCCCAGCTGTTGCTCTGGGTTGCTTTTGTTCAGAATAATGTGCAAATTCTCATCCCTGTGGCAAGGAACCTCAGGAATAAGTCTAGCATTCACACACTGGTACCTTTGCTCTCTGAGCACAGTCAGACGGAGAACTTGACAAGGTTGCCTCAGGACGAACAAGGCATAGCCGTGAGGCACGTTTCTGATATCTATGCCGTTGACCTAGAAGACAGAACTGGAGGTCAGTCATCACTAACCAGGGCTGGGATGCAAATAGTTTTACTACCGGTTCTGTGGGAGTGGCTAGGTGGGCATGGCCATGTGATTGGGTTGGCGTGGCTTCTTTTTTTTGCAGCACACCCCCCGCGCTCCAACGCCTTCCCTGAGGCCCAAGAGGCAAAATACGGCGTGCAGGGAGGGGCGCACAGACCCTCTCATGCCCCCTTTTGCCTCCTGGGCCTCATGGAAGCCTCCTGGGTGAAGCAGTAAGACAGCGAGGGGGATGGCGGCACAGCTAACCGTCAAAACAGCTGATCATCAGGAGGAAAAAAAAAAGAAATACTAGTTCAGCTGAACCAGTAGCTGTTTTTTTTTACTACCGGTTCGGCCGAATGGTAGCATTCCTTACTACCGCTTCCCTCAAACCGGGCCAAACCGGTCAAATACCACCACTCTATCTAACTGAGGCTGAACTACACACAACCATGTTGTGTGATGACTTCTTGTGGCAGTGATAGTTTCCATCACAATGCATCCTCTCTTAAACACCCCTCCCTCGCAACGTTTTTCCTGTCTTTCTGATTAGAAAGGCTGTTTTTTTATTTTATGTTATTTGTTTACTCATCAAACGAGAATGACAAATTCAAGAGGAGAAAAATATTAGTATTTTTAAAGATTAGGTAAAGTATTAAAATGTGACAGAGACGATAGGCAGGTTAGTGCAATTATGCATGCTTCCTTAGAGACATCTCATAAAGATGTGGTAAGGTACACAGAGGTTAAGTTAAAATTAAAACTGGGGAAGTTAGTGGCTGAGATAAGTGAATCGGGTAAGATATTCCACATTTTGACAACTCTGTAAGAAAATCAAATCTTTATACAATTTTCATTTTCCTTAGACTAGTCCAGCAGTTCCTCGCTTATCATATTCTGTGTTTACTGCCGGTCTGCAGGAACGTTGTTTTCTGTTCCATTTCTTCTCTAGAATCTATACGCATGATGGCAAACCTATAGCATGTGTGCCAGAAGTGGCACACAGAGCCATTTCTGCCGGCATGTGAGTTGTCGCCGGGAACAGATCCATTGAGCATGTATGTATGCCCCCTGCCAGTCAGCTGATTGTCAGCAGGGGTGGGATTCTACCAGTTTGCACCTATTCGCTAGAAAGGGTTGTTAACATTCTAAGCAGTTCGGAGAACCAGCTATTAGAAAAAATTGCTGGCCTAATCCTGTAAGGAAGGCAGGAAGGAAACATTCTGGTGTTGCTTACAGAAACTGCCTCTCCGTTAACCCTTATGACATTCTTGGCAGGACTAGACTTCCTGTCTCTGGAAATTCTCTGGAGTTTTCCCCCACTCCTTTGCTGGTACTTTGCTTGTGTGGAGTGACCATTCAAAGTTACAATGGCACTGACAAAAGTGACTGATGACCCTTTTTCACACTTATGATTGTTGCAGCATCCCCACAGTCATGAGATACCAGGTGAGGAGATGTGTGCCTCGATGTGAGTGATATTGAGTTGGCCAGGCCCAGGCAGTCACATGACTACAAAGCCATGCCCACCACCTAAGCCACGTCCACAGAACTGGTTGTTAAAAATTTTGAATCCCACCCCTGATTGTCAAGTATCTGCTGTGCATGAGTGTGGGTGGGGCACAAAGGGATACGTGCATGTGTGTGCAGGGGGGCACGGGGTGTCGCGCACACATTGCATTATGGGTGCAGGTGGGCGTGCGTGCATGCGCACCAGGGGTGGGATTCAACTGGTGTTACTACCGGTTCGCTGACTACGTTTTGCACGTGACGCCTGTAACAGAACCTTAGGCTGTGCCACCCGGAGAGCTGAAAAGCACAGCGCACAGGTGCGCAGCATTTGGAAAGCCTCTTCTTCCCTGCTTTTCAACCTCAGTTGTGCCGCGCAAAGCAGCTGAGGTTGAAAAAGCAGGAAATAAAGGACAGGTAAGAGCCCTGGCGGGCAGGTGGGCCAAACAGCAGCAAACACAGAACCGGTTCTGTGTCTGCTGCTCTTCAGAGCTACCGGCACTATAGAACCGGGCAGAACTGGTAGCATCCCACCCCTGGTGCACACGCACACACTTTTGGCATGCAATGATGAAAAGGTTCGCCATCACTGATCTATATCTATCCATATGTTATCGCTCAACTCGATGTTATTTGGATTAAAATGGGAACTGCTTACCAGCCTTCTAAATTTAAATGAAAATCACTCTTGAGTGCTTCTTATGGTTTCCAGGCAGGACATCTCGTTGAGCTGTTACTTGAGTGGCTGGGTGTTACCTTGCAGATGGTCTTGGGTTTAAATGTTCGGGAAGTCATGTACCGTTGAAATGGCTCCCAACCAAAACATTTCATACCCAAGATTTGTTTAAGCTGTTTTCATATGTTTTGCTAGAATATTTGCCCCCACCTTTGCTAGTGCTCCCAACGCTATTAAGAAAATAAATAAATGAAAGATCTAGCGATAGTTTCATGGTATAGCAATTAACTCTCTGAGAAGTTTTCTGTCAAACATAACTTTTCCCCAGCAACTAAAGTTATTTTACTCTGCAATTAAAGAAAAAAAAAGATGTAAAGAAATTTCAGCAATAATGTGGGAGGCAGAGATAGTTGGAGTGTTTCTAAACCCCCTAATCCTAAAGAAATGCGTTCATGTTTCAGTGCTGGAAAGTGGGTTTATTCTTCTGTCCTCGACTTATTACTACAATTGAGCCCAATTTCTGTTATTAAGTGAGACATTTGTTAAGTGAGTTTTGCCCCACCTTCCTTGCTGCGGTAGTTAAATGAATCATTGCAGCGGGTAAGTTAAATAACCTGGTTGTTAGGTGAATCTGGTTTCCCCATTGATCCTATGACTTTGGGATACAGTGACGGTCATAAGTACGAGTCATTTGCCAGGCATCTACATTTTGATCGTGTGAACATGGGGATGCTGCTAAAGGTCGTAACTCCATGTGGGCCACTTGGACAACGGTCATGCATCCGATGCTGAGGAGGAGCCAGGACCATCTGGGAGTGGGGTGCTGACTCTGGAGCCTCCACAATCTGGCAGCAGTGAGGCAGAGGATCAAGGGGAGCCTATTCCCAGTGCGCGTGTGTGCAGAGCTGCTAGAAGGCAAGAACAGCTAAGATAAAAGGGGCGACCCGGGAGTAAGGCTTGGAGGGGATTGCCCCTGCCCTAAGGTATAAAGGAGGTGCAAAGGTAATGTCATGCCCCTGTCAGAATCTGATTTGGAGTGGGAGGCTGAGCAGCTGGCAAGGAGAGGGAGTGTGGCTCCATTGGCTGTGGAAGAAACTGGGGAAGGGCACAGTCCGGCTGGGCAGAGCAGGGGAGAGGTAGAGCAAGGCAAAGGGAATGCAGAAGAAGATCCAGACCCACCCCCTCTTCATCCTAGGACACGCAGGGAGGAACAGAGAATGTGAGTTGTGTGGCTTATGGGGGAGGAAAGGGCCCTGATTCCCTTCATTAGCTGCAGCTGGGGACACTGTGTTTAAAAAGGGAGTTTGCACACAGCAACTTGTTGGAAGCAAATCGTGAATTATCTGGTATCGTCGAGGCTTATCTGGGTTCCTGGCATCTTCCCAACTGTGTGTGTCTTGTTGGCCTTTCAAGTCTGCAATTGCTTATCCTGCCCTGTCCAGTTAATTGCTGCAGCGTGGATGTGTGGATTTTTATTTACAATTTTTATGTACTTTGTTTTTGGACTGAATTTCCTCCACTTAAAGACTGCTCTTGGGAGAGTTTTTTCTCCAGCCAAAGGTAGCTAGACATTGGGGGCAAAGTTGGAGGTATTAAAGGGACTTTTCTTACTTATGTGATGGTGTTGCCTTTGTGCCACACCCTGGGTTATCACAGGTAAAGAAACCTTTGCAGGAAGCAAAGTCATTCGTTCTATTTGGATTAATCCTTGAAACACTGTGTGGACTTTGTACTTCAGTTGGTTATTTGTAGTTCATTTTGTTGTTGGCAGCAATTCAAAGGAGAGAAGGGTGGGTGCTTATCTGGAGGGACTGTTTGGGACTCATTACAAGCTGGGAATGAACATAATTCCCAGCCTTGAAATAAAACAAGAGTTGTTTTAACTAAGCGTGTGCTTAATTTCAGTCTTGGAAGCCTCGGTCAAAACATTATGTGAACGTTTACCTTCAAGATCATATCTCCCGGAAGTAGCCTCCCATCTTTGAAAATGATGCCGTCTCGATAGATGTGTTGAACGATGATGTGAATCAAAGGCGTTTCGCTGCCCCCCACGACTCGAATGGCAAGAGCTTCGTGGGGATTCCTGCGGTTGATCTTAAGGCTGGTAATTTCACCATCTGGAATGAGATGATATAACCTTGGAGAGGCTGAAACAAAAGGCAGAAAAGGGTTGGGGTTTTGAAATGAGTGGCGTTTGTTCTTTTTTTTTTTTGTAACGCAAGAACACAAAATGTGACGCACTTCCACAGTTGTTAAGAGAGATCTGGTACTTATTAAAAGGAATCAGTGGCTTTTTGCTAAAGCTCAAAGTTATCATGTACATTCAGCATCAACTTTATCGTCTGATATGTACGGCTAGTGTGCTGTCCAGCCAGTTATAGTTAATGGGAATTGGTATAGTTAGTTAGGAATTGGGAGCTGTTCCTTTAAGGGAATGCATCATGGTAAATGTAGTTAAGATACCCTGGGAAATGTAGTTCATGTCATGTGGCCACATCTGTAACCCCAATTGGTCACTGAATTGACCCTTGGTGGGTTGGGGGAGGTTTCTTCACTCTTGCTCGGACCCTAGCTTCGTGCTAGCCTCTCTCCTTTGGCTCCACTACTATGGGATGAAATATGGGATGGAAAGATTACTATCATTTTACACTATGATTTCAACTATACAAAGAATTGGACATTAGATGCATCTTGACATAACAGCGAGTTACCTTGAGGATACCTAATATAATCCAATAAAAGAAATTTTGTATGGAAGAATTTGTAGAGTTATCTATCTGTCTTTATATTCAACAATTGAATCAAAGGACAGAATAGCTAGCCCTTGACTTATGACCACGATGGAGCCAAAAATTTCTGTTGCTAAGCAAGACAGTTGTTAAGTGAATTTTGCTTCATTTAACTACCTTTCTTGCCACAGTTGTTAAGTAAATCACTGCCTTTATTAAGTTAGTAACTTAAGGAGTTCTTAAATTAATCTGCCTATTGAGTTTGCTTTTCCGAAGGTCGTAAAAGGTGATCCCATGACTCGTCTGCAACCATTGTAAGTATGAGTCGGTTTACCGAGCTTCTGAATTTTGATCGTGTGACCAAGAGGATGCTGCAACAGTTGTAAGTGTGAACAATGATCATAACTCACCTTTTGCAGTGTTGTTGTAACTTTGAATAGTCACTAAATGAATTCTTGTAAGTTGAGGACTACCCGTATTAACAACTGCTATCTTTGCTGGCATGGAACACAGTGTACAGTGGTTAGAATGTGGTATTGCAGGCTGACTCTGCCCACTGCCAGGAATTTGATCCTGACTGGCACAAGGTTGACTCAGCCTTCCGTCCTTCTGATGTGGGTAAAATGAGGAGCCAGATTGTTGGGGGCAAGAGGCTGACTCCATAAACCTCTTAGAGAGGGCTGTAAAAGCACTGGGAAGTGGTATATAAGTCTAAGTCCTATTGCTATTTCCAATTTCTTAGGTGAAGCAGATTCCACTGGGATGAGGGTGGAATTTTGCTATTTCCATTTTTGATATATTCCTCTGATGTCCTTGTTTCCGCACTCCACCCCACCACCAAAAAACCAAAAAACCAGTTTGCAGGAATTGCTTGAAAGTGACTGTTCTTTCACTTGAGTAAGCAAGAGTATTAAACGTATGTTTTCATTTTGTTTAATTTGATTAATTCCAGAGATTTTTTTCTTTCTTTCTTTCTTTCTTTCTTTCTTTCTTTCTTTCTTTCTTTCTTTCTTTCTTTCTTTCTTTCTTTCT